CACACATTTACAGTGGTTACCCCACACACACACACATTTACATTGGTTACCCCACACACACACACACATTTACATTGGTTACCCCACACACATGACTAGACTACAGATGTACCTAAGTGGGGTACAACCACACACATGACTAGACTACAGATGTACCTAAGTGGGGTAGAACCACACACATGACTAGACTACAGATGTACCTAAGTGGGGTACAACCACACACATGACTAGACTACAGATGTACCTAAGTGGGGTACAACCACACACATGACTAGACTACAGATGTACCTAAGTGGGGTAGAACCAGACACATGACTAGACTACAGATGTACCTAAGTGGGGTAGAACCACACACATGACTAGACTACAGATGTACCTAAGTGGGGTACAACCAGACACATGACTAGACTACAGATGTACCTAAGTGGGGTACAACCACACACATGACTAGACTACAGATGTACCTAAGTGGGATACAACCACACACATGACTAGACTACAGATGTACCTAAGTGGGATAGAACCACACACATGACTAGACTACAGATGTACCTAAGTGGGGTACAACCAGACACATGACTAGACTACAGATGTACCTAAGTGGGGTACAACCACACACATGACTAGACTACAGATGTACCTAAGTGGGGTAGAACCAGACACATGACTAGACTACAGATGTACCTAAGTGGGGTACAACCACACACATGACTAGACTACAGATGTACCTAAGTGGGGTAGAACCACACACATGACTAGACTACAGATGTACCTAAGTGGGGTAGAACCACACACATGACTAGACTACAGATGTACCTAAGTGGGGTAGAACCAGACACATGACTAGACTACAGATGTACCTAAGTGGGGTAGAACCACACACATGACTAGACTACAGATGTACCTAAGTGGGGTACAACCACACACATGACTAGACTACAGATGTACCTAAGTGGGGTACAACCACACACATGACTAGACTACAGATGTACCTACCTAAGTGGGGTACAACCACACACATGACTAGACTACAGATGTACCTAAGTGGGGTAGAACCACACACATGACTAGACTACAGATGTACCTAAGTGGGGTAGAACCACACACATGACTAGACTACAGATGTACCTAAGTGGGGTAGAACCACACACATGACTAGACTACAGATGTACCTAAGTGGGGTAGAACCACACACATGACTAGACTACAGATGTACCTAAGTGGGGTAGAACCACACACATGACTAGACTACAGATGTACCTAAGTGGGGTAGAACCACACACATGACTAGACTACAGATGTACCTAAGTGGGGTACAACCACACACATGACTAGACTACAGATGTACCTAAGTGGGATAGAACCACACACATGACTAGACTACAGATGTACCTAAGTGGGGTACAACCACACACATGACTAGACTACAGATGTACCTAAGTGGGGTACAACCACACACATGACTAGACTACAGATGTACCTAAGTGGGGTACAACCACACACATGACTAGACTACAGATGTACCTAAGTGGGGTAGAACCACACACATGACTAGACTACAGATGTACCTAAGTGGGGTACAACCACACACATGACTAGACTACAGATGTACCTAAGTGGGGTAGAACCACACACATGACTAGACTACAGATGTACCTAAGTGGGGTAGAACCACACACATGACTAGACTACAGATGTACCTAAGTGGGGTAGAACCACACACATGACTAGACTACAGATGTACCTAAGTGGGGTAGAACCACACACATGACTAGACTACAGATGTACCTAAGTGGGGTAGAACCACACACATGACTAGACTACAGATGTACCTAAGTGGGGTACAACCACACACATGACTAGACTACAGATGTACCTAAGTGGGATACAACCACACACATGACTAGACTACAGATGTACCTAAGTGGGGTACAACCACACACATGACTAGACTACAGATGTACCTAAGTGGGATAGAACCACACACATGACTAGACTACAGATGTACCTAAGTGGGGTAGAACCACACACATGACTAGACTACAGATGTACCTAAGTGGGGTACAACCACACACATGACTAGACTACAGATGTACCTAAGTGGGGTACAACCACACACATGACTAGACTACAGATGTACCTAAGTGGGGTAGAACCACACACATGACTAGACTACAGATGTACCTAAGTGGGGTAGAACCACACACATGACTAGACTACAGATGTACCTAAGTGGGATAGAACCACACACATGACTAGACTACAGATGTACCTAAGTGGGGTAGAACCACACACATGACTAGACTACAGATGTACCTAAGTGGGGTAGAACCACACACATGACTAGACTACAGATGTACCTAAGTGGGGTAGAACCACACACATGACTAGACTACAGATGTACCTAAGTGGGGTACAACCACACACATGACTAGACTACAGATGTACCTAAGTGGGGTAGAACCACACACATGACTAGACTACAGATGTACCTAAGTGGGGTACAACCACACACATGACTAGACTACAGATGTACCTAAGTGGGGTACAACCACACACATGACTAGACTACAGATGTACCTAAGTGGGGTAGAACCACACACATGACTAGACTACAGATGTACCTAAGTGGGGTAGAACCACACACATGACTAGACTACAGATGTACCTAAGTGGGGTAGAACCACACACATGACTAGACTACAGATGTACCTAAGTGGGGTAGAACCACACACATGACTAGACTACAGATGTACCTAAGTGGGATAGAACCACACACATGACTAGACTACAGATGTACCTAAGTGGGGTAGAACCACACACATGACTAGACTACAGATGTACCTAAGTGGGGTACAACCACACACATGACTAGACTACAGATGTACCTAAGTGGGGTAGAACCAGACACATGACTAGACTACAGATGTACCTAAGTGGGGTAGAACCACACACATGACTAGACTACAGATGTACCTAAGTGGGGTACAACCAGACACATGACTAGACTACAGATGTACCTAAGTGGGGTAGAACCACACACATGACTAGACTACAGATGTACCTAAGTGGGGTAGAACCACACACATGACTAGACTACAGATGTACCTAAGTGGGGTACAACCAGACACATGACTAGACTACAGATGTACCTAAGTGGGGTAGAACCACACACATGACTAGACTACAGATGTACCTAAGTGGGGTAGAACCACACACATGACTAGACTACAGATGTACCTAAGTGGGGTAGAACCAGACACATGACTAGACTACAGATGTACCTAAGTGGGGTACAACCACACACATGACTAGACTACAGATGTACCTAAGTGGGGTAGAACCACACACATGACTAGACTACAGATGTACCTAAGTGGGGTAGAACCACACACATGACTAGACTACAGATGTACCTAAGTGGGGTAGAACCAGACACATGACTAGACTACAGTTGTACCTAAGTGGGGTACAACCACACACATGACTAGACTACAGATGTACCTAAGTGGGATAGAACCACACACATGACTAGACTACAGATGTACCTAAGTGGGGTACAACCACACACATGACTAGACTACAGATGTACCTAAGTGGGGTAGAACCACACACATGACTAGACTACAGATGTACCTAAGTGGGGTAGAACCACACACATGACTAGACTACAGATGTACCTAAGTGGGGTAGAACCACACACATGACTAGACTACAGATGTACCTAAGTGGGGTACAACCACACACATGACTAGACTACAGATGTACCTAAGTGGGGTAGAACCACACACATGACTAGACTACAGATGTACCTAAGTGGGGTAGAACCACACACATGACTAGACTACAGATGTACCTAAGTGGGGTAGAACCACACACATGACTAGACTACAGATGTACCTAAGTGGGGTAGAACCACACACATGACTAGACTACAGATGTACCTAAGTGGGGTAGAACCACACACATGACTAGACTACAGATGTACCTAAGTGGGGTAGAACCACACACATGACTAGACTACAGATGTACCTAAGTGGGGTAGAACCACACACATGACTAGACTACAGATGTACCTAAGTGGGGTAGAACCACACACATGACTAGACTACAGATGTACCTAAGTGGGGTAGAACCACACACATGACTAGACTACAGATGTACCTAAGTGGGGTACAACCACACACATGACTAGACTACAGATGTACCTAAGTGGGATAGAACCACACACATGACTAGACTACAGATGTACCTAAGTGGGGTAGAACCACACACATGACTAGACTACAGATGTACCTAAGTGGGGTACAACCACACACATGACTAGACTACAGATGTACCTAAGTGGGGTAGAACCACACACATGACTAGACTACAGATGTACCTAAGTGGGGTAGAACCACACACATGACTAGACTACAGATGTACCTAAGTGGGGTACAACCACACACATGACTAGACTACAGATGTACCTAAGTGGGGTAGAACCACACACATGACTAGACTACAGATGTACCTAAGTGGGGTAGAACCACACACATGACTAGACTACAGATGTACCTAAGTGGGGTACAACCACACACATGACTAGACTACAGATGTACCTAAGTGGGGTAGAACCACACACATGACTAGACTACAGATGTACCTAAGTGGGGTAGAACCACACACATGACTAGACTACAGATGTACCTAAGTGGGGTAGAACCACACACATGACTAGACTACAGATGTACCTAAGTGGG